TCCTTGAAGCTGATGATGACATAATTGAATCTTTTAGGATGCTTTCATGTGTTCTGATCCTGGCCACAGCCAACTATGATTTCGGGATGTTCTAGGTCCAGAAAAGGCGAAAACTTTACCTGCATTCCATGCTTTCTCAGGCGCTGACAACAGTGGGAAGTTTGCAAGAGTTGGCAAAGTTACTTGGTTCAAGATCTTCCTTGAAGCTGATGATGACATAATTGAATCTTTTAGGATGCTTTCATATGACGCCAAACTATCAGAAGAGCTGATGACATGTTTGGCTAGGTTTGTGTGATCTATTTATTGTCCGAAGAAATCCAAATTAGCAACATTCTAGAGCTGCAATGGCACTTATTCTGCAAGGACATGGCGGACAGTGATAAACTGCCACCCACAAGCGGTGCCCTTAAACAGCACATAAATGAGGGTACATGTACAGGCTCCAGTTTGGGGCCATTCAACAGCAGGTTCTATTGGATCCGATGCAGTATGGCTACCACAAGGACGACGGAGGTCAGCTTAGACCGACTACCACTGATGTTCTTATGCACCAAAGGCCATTATCGAGATGTTATGATAACAATGCAAAGGAGATTGGTCCTCACAAAGGTGTTCTTGCAGGTCAAAAAGCTTAAAGTGCTTATGCACTACCCAGTGTGAAATTGATAAAGATTCACGTACTGAAAATCGAGATTCGGATGTCAGTGATGAAGAAAACGATGACTGATACATTATGATGACAATCATAAACTGTGCCCATAATTCATGTTGATTTGAAGTTATATGAAGATTGTTTCATAGAAGTGTCAAGATGTTAATCGCAAGCAGAGACACTATTTCAGTATATTTTAATATTTTTGTAGTTAAAAAATGGTTTTTCACATTAAATATCTTACTTTACATTATACTTGGATGGTTGTTGTTAGTCTGAGTGGATTCCTGATTACTTAAATCATATGTTTTTTCATCAATACTTACAATATGTGTGGCCTAGAGGCAGAGTTATCGAGCAAGTTCTGTTTTTTGCTCGCCATTTTGAAAAGCCAAGATGGCCGCCATAACAACCCTGAAAAAAATGGGAAATCAGTTTTCCTATTCCCTATATCCTAACAATTCTAAAAATATATAGTTTAGCAAATCTAAAAAAAAAATCCAACGAAAATACATGAGGAACTGGTCCAGCTGGACAAACCACCTTGCATTTCAAGTCTACGTAAGGACCATATACAGGCGCCAGCAACGTTACCTGACCACAACACTACAGATGACCGACCAAGTAGTGGAAGACCAAGGCTCACCACCCGACGTCAGGATCGTCAGACTGTGCGACAACATCTTCAAGATCTCTTTGTTACTGCTGCGGAAAGTGCAGGGGCACACCAGCGACACATTAGTGCGGACACCGTGCGGAACATTCGGTCTGACCTCAATAGGCATCTCAGAGTTAATGGAAGAGATTTTGACACTGTGAAAGACAAGGCATTCAACAAGGCTAATGTTTTGATGTCTTAATCACGATACCCCAACACATGTTTTGCAGAAAGTTTGGTTTGACGTAGACATTCATTACGTCACTAGAGGCCTTGAGTTTCACTCTCAGTTGCCCAAAAGTTCGTTCACATTTAAAGTTGACGATGAAGGCAGAGAATTTGCAACTCTTACCCATGACCTAAGGTGGATGGATATGTAAACAGGAAGACACTGGAGGTCGTCCGTGTACTCGTATGAACGTAAAACAATGTTAATAGATTGTTGCAATAAGAGGTATGTGTACCGTAGCACTTCAAAAGAAAAATTAAAAGAATTGATCTTCACATTGTGTGAGTTCATTGGAGTATGAACCTTCATAGAGTGACGGCCAAACACTGTAAGCTCCGACGTTCATACAGTTTGGGCCTCACTCTATGAAGGTTCATACTCCAATGAATTCACACAAAGTGAAGGTCATTTCTTAATTAAGATATACACTTAAAAAAAGGATCTATACATCAGGATTGCAACTTGGTTTATTTTTCGAGTTTAGATTTAATAAATATTATAAATAGTGGAATGTATATGTAAATTATAGCTGTACCATATGCACTTAACAAAATCAGGTGCAAAGACGTCCCAGGTAGGTGGAAAGTCAGTAACGATTATGGCCTCCTCGAGCTGCTGTCACCCCACGGCAGCGACTGCACATAGATCGAAGTCCGAATAACAGCCCGGGGGATGTTCTGCCACTCCTGCTATAGCGTAACAAACAGTTCCGAGGTGTCTGTGGCGATGGTTGACGTTGACGAACACGACGATCCAGCACGTCCCACAGATGTTCAACAGTGGAAAGTCTGGCGAGCGGGCAGGCCAGTGTAGCATAGGCACGTTGTTCTGATGCCGAAACTCTGTGCAAACACGTGCGACGTGGGGTCTGGCGTTGTCCTGCTGAAGGAATCCGCCATTGACGTTGATGAAGGAGACAACGTGGCGCTGCAGATTCTCGTCTTGGTAGCGTTCACCATTCAGAGCACCATCCACTCTCACAAGTGCTGTCTGGCCTCCGTGATGAATGCAACCCCACACCGTGACGCTTCCACCTCCAAAACGATCCACTTTTCAGTGTAACGTTTGTTACGACGTCGGTAGACACGGGCATATCTATCACCACGTCTCAGCAGAAAACGGGACTTGTCTGTGAACAGAGCACGTCGCCATCTTGCTTGAGGCCATGTGACTCTCTGACGACACCACTGTAGATGTTCACGGAGGGGATGAGGCTGCAGGATGTTATGCCGCACGGGTCTCCTGGTGGTGTTGTAGCGTCTCCACAAGTCACATCCCTGACGTAACATCCCCGCATGATCTCGCAAATTACCATTAACAATGATGAGTTGTGTTCTCTCATGCGTTGTAATACCACCCCATACCATTACAATTCCACCCCCAAACTGCGTTGAGTAACGCAAGCGTCGCTAAAGCCTTCTGCCTTTGTACCCTTGCTCGACCGTCATTGATGTAACCTGGACAGTATACCAGTGAACAGTATACTGTCGCAATCTTTCGAACGTCAGATGTTGTCTACATCAAGCTATACGTGCCTGACGGTGACTTGAAAGCAAAATTCGGTGTATCGCTGGACATCGGGGGAGGATGTTGGGCTCCCTCCACTGGTTGCGTACGATTCTGCCTCTAATTGGTCTCAACCGAGGAATTGTCCGACCTGTTAATGTGTCAGTTTGGTGTCAATGTCGTACATGCACCAACCGAATATTATTGTCTTGTTGAAATGACTTCACTCGTGGACGACTGGCCTGTCCAAAATCATGAGTGTTGCCCTTCTGTAACGTCTCCAAAGAGATGATATTGTTTATCGATGCACATTAAAATGTTTTTCAACTTCGTTTTGCGCCATTCCTGTTTGCAGCAAACCCATGTTGATTTTCAGTGGCATTGCGTAAGCCTTATTTACGGTTAACAAAAATGTTTTTATCAGCACATGAAAGCCAAACAATAATAAAACCCCGCATTTATGAGTTTCTTGCTTTTCAAATTGCACGTGCAAATTGTGAATCACGACCTTAAATTCGATATGTCTTCATGAATATGTTTTGGAAGATGCATTATTTTAAGTCAGAATAACTTAATTTTATTGACCTTTATATGAAGCAAAGTTACATTTTCCCGATAGTTTATATTCTGAAAACCACATTTCAAACTCCAGGTTTATTAATCTGAACAGCTCTAGTGTCTATTAAATGTGCTAACATAATTCCAATCCACATGTAAATATGGTTGCCATTTACATCTATATTGACCATGTCATTTTTGCCATTTTCCAGTATTTACCTACAATCCAGTTTTTACTCAAAACCTATCATTATGAAGGCATAGATTATTGTTCATGTGATCAGGTGTTGTGATCTTCCAGATTGCCTGTTGTCTTTACATGAAGATGTAGATTTTGTTGATGTGATCAGGTTTTGTGACCTTCCAGTTTGCGACTTGTCTTCAGATGAAGATGTAGATTATTGCGCTTGTGAGCAGGTGCTGTGACCTTCCAGATTGTGTGTTGTCTTTCCACCGATTTGCGTGGTCCAGATTCAAATATTAGTCACTCATTGCTATTGAACAAGAAGGAACTTGGCATCAATTGAGTGCACATGTAACATGGTGCTATATAACTGACTCGTCGCTAAAGCGATCAAACGTAAATGTTGTCTTAGGACTGTCTTTGAATTGTATGTAATTCGTCGGGTTTGGCTACATTGCACTGAGATAATAAACGTTAACTACACAAGATGAAGTTATATGTAGAGACCCGCAATGCCGACACAGCTGAACTCAAATCACCACACGATAGACCATGTCAAGTTGATCTATTGATAATGATATTATTTTATGTTCGCTTTTCCCAGCCATGTTGGCATGAAAGGTTGGTAACACAAAAGCAAAAGTTCATCCTGATTGTAAGCCTGCTATTAGGCAATATATCAATCATTGTTGGCAATCGAATTGGGATAAAACAAACAAACCAGCTGCATAATATTCAGCCAATTATTCACATTTAACTCTTGCTTTTCTTTTAAAGTAAGAAAATGCTCCACATTAATTCCTTGTCAATGCCACGTTTTCATGAAGCACGTTCTATTAGACCTTGTACAGATTTCATACGTCATATGTATTTCAATATTTGTATTGTGTACACTTTTACTAAAGTTCATAACAATAAGTGTATAGCATTCTTTAAAAAACAAAATATGACAAGCTATAGAATTGAGTCAAAATCGTTTTTTGGTTTTTCTGTAATGTGTGACATACTTATATCACCCTTTCATGATTGTTCCCTATTTGAACATGCCCTATTTTTATCAACTAGTAATAACGCTTCAATCAATATTTATTCATTTATTTATTTAGCCATTAGATGCTTGACTGTAATATTGATTAATAAAAGTTACTTCTATCGAATGTAATCCTTAGTTACAGAAAGTATGCAGCACAAAAAGCTCTCATTTACTCACCTGAATACAGGTTATGACACCCCCGTGACCCTTGAAGACTTTATGCTGCCCACCATCATGTAGATACCAGGTTCTCACTGTGTGATCAATGCTTCCAGTGAAAAGGATGTCGCCTGGACCATCCAATGCCAGGCATGTGATCTGCTCTGTGTGACCATACTTGCCACCAAAAACGTTAAGAGGTTTGCCAGTACTTATATCCCAGGAAATAGCAGTGTTGTCAGCAGACCCGGTAACAAGTATGTCAGGATCTTCATCATATTCTTGTTGGAACATCTCATCTCCCGGTCGGAACAGTAATGGGTAAACGCCCCTGGTATGTCCTCGGAATACGCGTAGGGGTTCCCCATTGTCAAAATCCCAGCAGCGTGCAGTGTGGTCGTATGAGCTTGAGAAGATGAAATCTCCAGCGCAGATGATGCGTTGGATGATCGACGTGTGACCCTGAATTACCAAGAGGCAATCTAAACTCTCACAATGCCATTTTCGTATTGTGGTGTCGGCACTTCCGGTGAGAACATATTTGTCTTCGAATGACACACAGTTTATTCTTTCCGTATGACCAACTAGTTCGCCATAACAGCCAGGGTCTTCGAGACTAGTACTCCAGAGAATTGCAGTTGTGTCCTCGCTGCCGGTCACTAAGATAGTTCCTTCGTCGTTAATTGCCATACAATTGATACCTGCACGGTGACCTTTAAGTACGTGAAGCAGACATTCGTCGCCGTGTTGGTTTTTGGGCGCACTGAAGATAAAGCCCATGGCTGAATAATCGGTAAACGTAGCAGTCGAGGATAGTGTTCGAAATACACAGATCGATATCGCAATCCTTCTGTATCTACAGTCTTTTGTTTACACCTCGCCTAGTTTATTGATTATCTTCGTGCAAACAAATTGAAGGGATCTCAACAAATCAATAAATAGCAATGGCCGCACTTGCATTGCAGAACACTGACGATATTTGACTGATGAGATGTTCTCGTCACTTGAATTTTCTTGAAGTGATCTGAAATGCAATGTAATCAATCAATTTAGGTACAGAGGTTATGTTAAAAATATATTCTTTTTGTTCTGGACAAGGAGGCAGTTATATAGAGACTTCAAGAACGAATCGGTTCATTAACTGTTTGTGTAAATAGTTTATATTAAAAGATAACACCTTGTCCAATCAACTGCTGCCTTAAACGGACATACGGGCAGTTGTAGGGAACTGGATGTTTAACCAGACGTTCACTGCAACACAGTTTCGGCATATGATTAAATAACAATACAAGCTTCACACATTGTGTGGGCGATTTAAAATTGAAAGTCACATCTGCAGTATTTTAGCCACATCATGACAAAAATAAGTTAATAATAATACATGAACACCTGTCAGCGAAAACAACTATTATATCACAGTTATGTATGCTGAACCGCAAAAGAAACGACACCCCAAGTAACACTGCATGAAAAGTTGTCATTTAAATATCTGGGTAATGTTGTCAAAGTTCTAAAATTTAACATAACCTTGTCCGGAAAAATGAAATTTGATGATAAAAAACAAAGCAGATGACAATAAAACCGATCGCCCAAACGCATCACGGCAACGGCCATGGTAACCCGATGCACACGAGTTCCGTGCAAATTGAAATGCACATGCGTTCCCCCATTACTTGCCCTATAAAAATCCACCCAGATCGAATAACATTCATTCGTTATTGAATTCCTACCACATGTCAAGATTAACAAGGAATCAGCCACACCAAGCCCTTGGACGATTGCAAGCTGGACAAACCGCCCGGCAAGTAGTCAATGCATTTCAAGTCCATCTAAGGACCATATACAGACTCCAGCAATGATACCAGACCACCAACACTATAGATGACCGAGCACGAAGTGGAAGACCAAGGGTCACCACCCGACGTCAGGATCATTAGATTGTGCGACAGCATCTTCAAGATCGCTTTGTTACTGCTGCGGAAAGTGCTCGACAAACCATTTGCGCCACCAGCGGTGGAGAAGAGTCCTTCTTAGACGAGAGCCGTTACTGTATCTCAACAGCAGATGGCAGAGAGTGAGTCTGGCGACGCCGTGGGGAACGTTATTCGGATGCTTGTGTTGTTGAGAGAGTTTTTGACTCGTGGGGTGGTCCGAGCATCTTGGTGTTGGGTGGAATTGGTCTTGCACAGAGGGTCGGCCCTGTGGTCGTCCATAATATCGGTCCCGGGAAAGGCAATGGTGTCACAGCAGCTCGGTACATTGATCAAGTCTTGAGACCACACGCCATACCTCATTTGGTACGTCGCCGCAACCACGAGTTTTAGCATGATAACACCCGTGCCCACACTGCCCACACAGACCAGCAAGAGACTTCCTCCAGCAGAATGGCATCAGAACCATGCAGTCGCCTGTCCTCAGTCCCGATTTAAATCCCATTGAGCACCTGTGGGACGAGATTCAAAGACGGCTGAATGACGTCCGATCAAGGCCGATAACTGCAGCTGAACTGCGTCAGGCGTACATCGGAGTGTGGGCTCAAGTGCCTATGGTCTTCATCAACCGCCTCATCCATTCCATGTATCGATGTTGCACGACAGTAATCGATGCACACAGCCGACACACGAGATACTGACTTGTGATGCCATTTTCCTCAGAGACTAGTGTTGTGTTTCACTTTAAGAACATTTGGCACTTTAATTTCAACCTTGATAATCAGTATTGCCAAGTTTCATCTTTTTAATATGTCTCAAAGTATGTTTACAGTGTTTGGACAAATAAGGTTTCTCATATATCTATCCATGGTGACTTTTCTTTTGCGGTTCAGTATATTTAAACTAGTATGTGAACATGTAAAATGATACGACAATACAATGATAATACAATATAAACACAGGAAGATATGTGACAATGTATCTTGAACATAACATGTTCTAGTAACTAGTATTCATTCAAATCTGCGATACCTTTATGCGAAGTCATTGGTCACAGTAACCTGACTAATTGTTTGACACGATCACAACTAGTCGTGAATCCTTGTTCATGATATTCGTGACTGCTCCAGAGCTGCTTACATACCTGACGGTCGTGCAGTACTTGCAAAATTGTTTAGTTACAACTCGCACTCACTTGATCACTTCCTGCATTAAAGGGATAACAATGTATCCATTACGAAGAACAGGAGTGTGGTAGCTGAAAGAGTGTTGACATATAACATACACTCGCTCACTTTCTAGATTTACGGTAAACCACGCACATTTTACATAGAGACCGCATGGTCATAGCTAGAATTCCTTGTGGAGAGTTGAATCCCTTAGGCGTTTCAAAAACCTATAACCGTGGATTCGTAACCCAGATTTGCCATGGCTGTTTCCTCACTTATCCGACTGACATATATTTTGCCATGTTGATCAAAACAAAGTAAAACACAAATCACTCACTCTCCATCTCAGATTATGCACCAGTACGCATACGAACACAAATCCATTTTAGTTTAAATTGTGTAATTCTAAGGGTTAAATTAGAGAAGTGTCAATGTGGACGTAAATGTGTCAAATTTCATAAAATCCATTGCATCATGCAGTACTAATGGCTGAACTAGAAAGGTGCTTACTAGTATCTGTAAACAGAAGTATACCTTTCACCACAATCTCGGGATAGTCACATAAATCAATACAGACCACCATGTATAGACAGTCTGATACCTTCAGTTTAGTGAAGTATTTGCAACTACCACATCAAAGCACATAACCTTGACACGCTGTGCATAAATACCTTGCCACTGTAATAACATGCCTTCCAGTCTGGTGAGCTGTTTTCTGGTTTGGGAAACATGACCAACCAGTACGGTTTTAAATCAGAACGACCAATGACTCGAGCTGCTCTAATAGGAAATGTATTAAAAAAATAAAACCGACAAAACCCTTTCCATACTCATAAGAAATATCTGTCAAATTGTCGACTGTACGATTCCTACTATATCTTGAGCATATGTATATGAATTACTATCAAATAGTGATGGTACCATGTGTTCGCGAAAGGATAAGTGTAACCTGCCCAACCGGTGGCACTCTTCAAACACACATGCAAAGGCAAGTCACCTGAAAACACACTGAATGGCCCGTACAAGGCAAAATAGGGAATTGTCTCTGACATAACTTATCTCACTGATGCTGCGAATTTGGAAATGTCTTCCACATTTCTAGCATGAAACCTTTTGAAAGCCTTACTTGAATCGCATGGCGCTCTTTGAAATCTTGGTAGAAAGAGCATGCTCGATTGTACCTGAAAAGTTGTGAAATGTTGATACCAAGGACAAGAGCTGCAGGAATATTGCTCGACATAAATGGAAAGATGACTATTGGAAAGTTGAAGTTATCCCTCGTGTCATACAGTTTTGTGGAGAGTCTTTTGTCACCCAGAATCTGTATGCATAGATATAAATATGAAACACATTTGGTTGTCTTTCTTGTCTCCTTTATTTCTAGTTCAGGTGGGTAAATTAGCCATTTGATGGCTAATTAACGATTTTAGATCATCGATATGCAGAAGCTTTAGTTAAACATCTTGGCCTAATTATTTTGTTTTGACTTTGCAAATCGATTGGAAATTCCGATTCATGTGCATGACGAAACAGATAACAGATGGTGCCCATAGGGATGCCCACTTCTTACCTAAATGTCTTAGCCTCTATGTACATAAGCAAGTTTGTTGCCCTTTCAGTTTGAAGACATCACTTCCGTTGGGGAAACATGTCTTATGCAAAACAACGAGTCCTATGCCTTTATCTAGCTTCATAAGCACTTCCGGTTTAATTACAATGACCACAAATTTTAGCGAATCACATGTAGATTGTTTTCAGTAGGAAACATAGGCCCCTGCCCTTACAAAATGTCATACCTGCCATGTAAATCCTGTTTGGCAACCGTCCTTTATCGACAGGTTTTATATATGCGAAATGTACTAATACAATGATAATAGCATTTTCTTGTCACTGTAGGACTGAAATACTACTGACTACTGACTACTGACTACTGTTCACATTTCCAATAGGGGTCACGCCCTAAAGATTACTTGTGCAAAGTTTCTATGCTCATCGAAGTTGTTCTTTTTAAACCATGACTTTTGGGATAACCTTGAAATGATCTTAACCTCGAAATGACTGCTATACGTCTGGAGAAAATACCCAGTGCTGTGGAGGAGATATACTTGCTATGAAGCCTGCGGTGTCCATGCACCGCATGGTTTCAAAAAGAAATTCCGTCGCTGTCCTTACATGAAGAGTATTGAACATTTGTACATTTTCACGCAGACCCGAGAGAAAGCTTTTGTAGGACAGCTGTTCAGAATCGTAATTGAATGGTGTTTCTGTCTGTAACCAGAGCTGCACGGTAGCTACCGCAATGTAGTTTTAACTCAGTCTGAATTCATTTGTTCCATAGCCCATCAAGGATCTGCATGGAGTTGGAATCCCAAATTCTCTATAGTTATGAAGTTAAGTCAACACCACATCCATACACGTGGCTTTCACCCAAGTTGTACACGTCTTCGACCTGTGGCACCTTCAGCCTCCAACATTATACGAACACCATATCTAAAATACTGACCTACTAAAGTCACTGTGTTGCAATTGGTAAAAGAACTAAAGCAGCTCTTCGAACATTAATGATAAGAAGACACCATGAGTTCAAGGAATCATTGTCCATTGACAAGTTCTTTCGACTGATAAAGTGCTTTGACGAAAAAAGACACACTCGTTTCGCTCTAATTTGTTTTTATTTTGCCATTTAAGGAATCAAAGATCGCTTAGCTCTGATGCTTTTTTGTTGTCACTGGCATTTACTTTAAACCACAAGTTGAACCACAGTGATATAACTGAAATCATGCTCAAAGAGGGGTTAATCAAAATCAGTTACTCTTCAGTTTTATCACTGAGCCGTGATCGACAATTATTTCCATTACTTAAGCGTCTCCTTGTATTTTCACATTACATAATGCCAAACATTTCTAATTACAATATAAATTTGT